CATCTCGGGGTCATATAATGCCGTTTGGAACCATATATGATCATTATATGTTGTCATAAATGTTCGTGGTAGGCTTGAGTTAAAAAAAATCAGTGCAAGTTGTAAACCGGTAAATTGACCGTTTAAAAGGAAATTGGATAGTTCCACCTAGCTAATTGGACTCCCAGAGAATATTAGGGACCATGGTAAACATTTTGGAAAATTTTATTTCCGAGAGAAAAAAGTAAAAAAAAAAATTCCAAAAATTAAGACTATATCCACGCATTTTGCGAAATTTTGAAGGTTTCGAGACTCGTTGTCGAAAAGTCTTGAAATTCCAAGGAATACATCTTTGTGTCATATTATGCCGTTTGAAACCATATATGATTATTATATGTTGTATTATGTTGTCATTAATGTTCGTGCTAGATTGGAGTTAATGAAATCGGTGCAAGTTGTAAATGGGTAAATTTGTCGTTTAAAATTGGATGACCTGGTTTCACACATCCAATGGGACCCTCGGAGGGTATTAGGGACCATGGTAAATATTTTGTCAAATTTTATTTTCGGGCAAAAAAAGTTAAAAATTTTCCAAAATTGAAGGCTAGCTAATATCCACGCTTTTTGAGAAATTTTGGAGGTTTTGAGGCCCGTTGTCAAAAAGCCTTTAGATTTTTGGGGATACATCTCGGGGTCATATAATGCCGTTTGGAACCATATATGATCTTTATATGCTGTCATAATTTTTCGTGGTAGGCTTGAATTAATGAAATCGGTACAAGTTGTAAATCGGTAAATTGGTCGTTTAAAGGCAAATTTGATGGTTCCACCTATCCAATTGGAATCCGGGAGGGTATTATGGACCATGGTATACATTTCAGTAATTTTTATTATCGGGCGAAAAAAAAAGTCAAAAAATTCAAAAATTAAAGGCGAATATCCACGCTTTTTGAGAAATTTGGAGTCTTCGGGTACCGGTATCTAAAAGTCATGAAATTCTTGGGAATACATCTCAGGGTCATATAATGTTGTTTGGAACCATATATGATCATTAATTGTTGTCATAAATGTTCTTGGTAGGCTTGAGTTAATGAAATCGTTGCAAGTTCTAAACCGGTAAATTGGTTGTTTAAAGGCAAATTGGATGATTGCACCCACCCAATTGGACTCCCGGGGGGTGTACGGGACCATGGTAAAAATTTCGGTAATTTTTATTTCCGTGCGAAAAAGTCAAAAAATTCCAAAATTGAAGGCTAATATCCATGTTTTTTTATAAATTTCGAAGGTTTCGGGGCCCGGTGTCGAAAAAAAATGAGATTTTAGGGGATACGTCTCGGGGTCATATAATGCCGTTTGGAACCATTAATGATGATTATATGTTATCATAAATGTTCGTGGTAGACTTAAGTTAATGAAATCCGTGCAAGTTGTAAACCGGTAAATTGACCGTTGAAAGGCAAATTGGATGGTTCAACCCACCCAATTGGACTCTTGGAGGGTATTAGGGCTAATGGTAAACATTTTGGCAATTTTGATTTCAGGGCGAAAAAAAGTCAAAAAATTCCAAAATTGAAGGCATTTATCCATGTTTTTTGAGAAATTTTAGAGGTTTTGGGGCCAGGTGTCGAAATGACTTGTCATTTTAGGAGATACATCTCGGGGTCATATAATACCGTTTGAAACCATATATGATCATTATATATTGTTATAAATGTTCTTGGTAGGCTTGAGTTAATAAAATTTGTGCAAATTGTAAATCGGTAAATTGACAATTTAAAGACAAATTAGATAGTTCCACCCACCCAATTCACTTTGCTTTTACATAGTTTTTCTTGTACATCTTGACCATAAATATCTTTCATATAAAAAGAAAAAAAAAAAGTTAAAATCTTAAAAATATATATTTTGATGAAACTAACAATCTCTCAAAAGTTGATATATTATTTTTCTTTTATAATTCATTATATAAGATCAATGTCATTTTAACCAGCGGAGCTTTCAATAGATGAATATGGTGACTGATGGGTACATTTTTTGATTGATATTTAAAATTTCCATTTGGTTTCCTCTTTCCCTTTATGGCTGATTTGAGGTTGCTTTCCCTTTTTTTTTTTAATTGCAAGTTTTTTTTTTTTCCCTAATTTGGCAGTTTATATGTAAAGGGATTAGAGAATTCTAGGCTTTGTAGAAGAATTGATTGTGATTTGAGGGATTAGGGTACCGACATTTGATTTGTAGGACTAACATCAAACATTTGTAAAAATTGTTAATTATGCTAGTTGACTAAACTAGCTAATTCTACCAAATCAAACAAGGAGAATCTACTCTAAACAGGCTAACATGACCACTTAAACCCATGATTTTGAAACTCCAATGTCTTTGTGTAATATTACTAGTGCTTGAATATTAATATAATTATTGCAACATTTGCAAGATCTAGATTTGGATGCTAATTTTAGAACTTCTGATATAGTCAGGCCCATAAAATTTTGGAATTGTTTTAAAAATATTTTCAATTTGGGGTAAGAGGTGAAAATTGGGTAACTTGAGTTTAACTTCTACCATCTACCCATAGGTAAAAAATAATTTTCTATCTCTTTCTCTTTCAAATTTCTTAATATATGCCCCATCTAGAAAGAAACTATAAAAAAGAAGGAAAAGGTACTTTTTAGGTCTGGACTTTTTAAATAAAAAATGATTTTACATGATCCACCTAAATTTAGGCCTTGTTTTGCATCTCTTGAGTCTTAATTGGTTTGGCTAGTTTTTGTTTGTTTCGATTTTCATATTGGTTATATGTGTTTGATAAAAGACAAATATATTTTTTTGATATCTCAGGTCTCTAACAGTAAAGTTAGGTTAACATACATTGCCTTTTAGCTAAGTAAAAAGTCAATTACAAAACACATACATTGACTATCAGACCATAATAAAAAGCTACAAGTCAAAATTTAATGAAATAGCCAAAAAAAAAAAACCATTTATCGAACAATGTTTTAAATATAGAAAAATTGTCAAGTTGGGTATGTTCTAATTTACTGAACTGAATTGATGGGAGCTAAACTGAATTGAACTGAATAGAGGTGAAATGAATTGTTTATGAAAGAAGGAAGTTAGGAGTTGAACTGAACTAAACTGATTGAAATTGAACTAAACCGAACTAATTAAGCTGAAAAGAACATACAAGAATTCAATAATTAAGATTTCCATTTAAAAAATTTTAAATCCGCGAGGACCACAGTTGCATATATAGCAAACCGAGCATGACATAACCAAAGGGTGATAACTATTGATAGTTGCCTAAAAAAACCTAGGTACTATTTATAAAAGACAGACATTCACATGATTAAAAGGACCACAGGGCCTTAATAACAAAAGGCAAAATGTATAGCAGCCTTAGATGATTGTAGGGGAGGCAATATTAACCCTAAATAGCAACTTAACATTGCCAGAAAACACCCCAGCTTGCATATTTGGGACACTTTCCTACAATTTAAAGGCCACAACATTAGAACTAGTACTTTTATTGGTTTAATATTTTTAGGATGTTTTAAAAATTATTTTAACAAATAATTAAAAGGAGGGCACATGCCTTAAGGTATAGACATCTCCCAGCTGACATGAATATGTTAATAGAAAGTGGAAAAGAGCAATGGCATGCATTCCCAATCTCCCTACTACTATAGGATGTTTGTGGTCCTAGTCCTAATTACACTAATCAAACATTACCCAAAAAACAATTAATAAAGAAGAAAAAGGTTGTACACTTGTACCATCAACTTTCTACATTCCAACAAAGTGAGGATTCAATTGAAGAAGTATATACTATAGCCATCTATATATTTATTGTTATGAATTTATGTTGATATTAGGTTAGTTTTATAACTTCGTAGGTTAAGATCATTGAAAGGCTAAAGTGGTTGTAGATTGACATTTGTTGTTCTACAATTTCGATACAATAATGTTGTAATTCATACAGCATATTACTTCAATCTGACTTTGATTGTCACGTTGATTGTATAACTAGAACAAGCAATGTTCATATAAGGCTTTGTTTGGTTAGGAGTATTTGAATCAAAATGTGCCGATTTGGCCAATTTAGAGTGTTGACTGCATAAATTTACTATTTCGGTCGTTTGGTTAGGAGTTGGATCAACGAGTTTGTTGTGCTCTAAACAATGGGAAAAATAAAAAAATGGAGTATTTTAGGTTAGATGGTTATGAGTTTTAACCAAGTGACAACTTTACATCCATACTACCCTATATACTTGTATGTCATTTCACATGTTCAAATAACAAAATGCTACAAATTACAAGCTAATTTTACCCGGCATTTTTTACAAACTACTGTAATAAAACCAGCTAATTACCAAAGGGGACTAAACCCAAATGGATGAAGTAATAGTAGTATTTGGATAGAATAATTCAGCCAACAACTATGTTGTATGCATAGTTGTATATGAAGTTTATTCAAAGACATAATAATTGATGCTAAGAATTGGAAGTAAAAACTAGATAGGCATGGAGGGCCATTCCATTATATTGACTTTAAAGTCCCTTTCCCCTTCCTAGGAAAGACAAAACCACCAAAAAAATAAAGAAACCTCAATCCCCAAAAACCCATCTCAAGGCAGTTGCACCACCTTTCAAAATCTTGGATTTGGGCCTTCCAAAGATTGCTGAAACTAGCTAAGCATTAGCTTCAAATATCACCACCTTTTTCCCTCAAGACAAACATATTTTCTACCATTATCAGTAAAATCAACTCAAATATTTGCTCACAACCAACCAAAACATAAAAGGACAACCTATATAATCATAATTTTTTGTATACAACAAACATAGTATTTCATACTATATTACTCAAAAAAATAATGTCTTCTTCATTAATGAAAAAAAAAAAGTAAAAGCTAGGACAATTTTGTCTGCAGCACTGTATAAAAACAACCAATTTGTTGTTATACTTATGGCACAAACACAAAAAGACATAATTAATAAAAGGAAAAAGTGAAAAATTTTACTTTTTTTTTTTTTTTTGAATTTCAATCCCTAGGTGATCAGAACTTGTACTTGAGCTCAGCTGTTGATTGCAAAAGATTTAAAAGTAAACAATTTTTTTTTGGGGGGGATGCAGACATTTTTCCAGCTGGTATGTTTTGTTATGCACTGTTCTGAAAGATAGATGTTATCATAACCAAATGACAAATGAAAAACAGGTTTTTTTTTTGGTGGGGTTGAGAGATACTAGTAGTAGTAAAAGCAAATAACTAAAGTTCCCCAACCTTAAGGAGAAACTTCAAGCCTAGGTTCAAAGCAAAAACCATTGAAAAGCTGAAGAGGGAACCTCTTTGTAACAGGACATTTCTGTGACCATTTCCATTGCCTTAGGTTCATGTCAAACAAAAGCAAGGCTGGTGCACCAAAGCTCTGGATGTATATCAGATCATCAGTTCCGCTACTAGCGAATACATCATCGAACTCTCCAAAACCTTGAAAGTACTTGTGTGGCATCCGAGCTACATCTTGCCATTCGTTTCCGTTTAAGACCCAAATCCCTATCCCTTTGATTATGTCAGAACGATCCTGTTTCCCGATCCCTCCTACCATCACCAACTTCTCCTTGAGGTTCATCAATCGACCACACGTTAAAGGGCAAGGGGCTGGGATAAAATTCCTCATCAACAAGCCACGGGGTGAGCGGCTTGAGAGATTGTACTTGATCAAGCCATGGCGTTTATCAGGCATTCCACCACCAGTAGAGTAGAGCAAAAAGTAGAGAACACCGTCACAAATCACACACTCATCACCAGCTCTCCACCCGTTTAAAACTTCCGTGAGTGGAGACACCCACATCATTGTTTCAGAGCTATAGATATGAATGGAGAGATCCCATTGGTAGAAGTTGTCTGGTACTTGTTTCGATTTCACAATCGAGACATTGTAGTTGTGAGATATCCTATCAACAGATATTGTGAGGGCAGTATAATCAGAGAATTTAATGCCTGGAGGCTCCATGAGCCTCTTGCTGCATTTGGTGATGGGGTTGTAAACATGGAGCTCACTTCTGCTATCATTGTTCATGAAGCAAACAAGACCGAAAGAGGAAGCAACGAACCAATTAGAGGTAACAAAGTAAGGCAGGTCAATGCCATACCACTTCTTAAGGCCAGGATCATAGGAATACCCAAAAGATTCATCAGTGCTGATAAACATGAAATACCAAGGCTTATGTGATAGAACATGGACAGAAAAATTCCACAAAAAACGTTTCGAAGTCACTATATCGTTCCATCTCTTGCAAACACAACCAGCTCTAAAAATGCTGGCAACAGGTAGATAGGCCAGAATCCTCTCCAACAAGTCATCTGGAAGAATCGAGTCTACAGACACTATGTCTTTGTTTACCTCATCATCAACCTCCGAAAAGGAATCGAATTTGACAGGGTTTAACACAGAACCATAGTGATAATGGCTAACCCATGTATCCCTTCCATCCATAGTTTTGGGATAAAATTGCCCTGCACAGAAAACAGTCTCACATTGATTTCATTTCACCTACAAACAGAAAACATTCCAGCAACCACAAACACATAGCACCAACAATATTAAATTTTGAACAGGATTAACCTAAATACATTAGGAAAATTAAACCACAAAAATACTAAACACTGCAAATTACATGAACTTCAAAAGTTCTGCAAAGCTGCAACAGCTCTCAAGATAACTCCACCATAATCTTGAAATCCTTAAACAAATGTAACAAAAACGAAATCAAAATCAATGATCCCGGTCGGGTTTTCGGGTTTTTTAGCTACCACAATGCTCAAATAAGCAACCAACAGCAGCAACAGCTATGACAACTAACATTAAATCACTAAAGTGCCAAGGAATCCTCTTTGCAGCATACAAAATATATAGCATTTAAAATAACAATTAACAAATGCATATAATTATTTAGTGAGATTAATAATCAGGCAAAACTTAGAATTTAAATTTTCCAAATATGAAGATTGTACAAACAAAACCAACAAAAATAATAAAAGCTAATCTCAGCTTAAACAAAACCAAATACCCAAAATATATCAGGTGGACATATTCAAATCTTCAATTATCCCACATTAAACTGAAAACCACATGTAATTTCTTGAAAAAGCTGCAAACTTTTAAACATTGAAACCCAAAATTGAACCTCCACAAAATGATAGTTGAATAATAACAATAAAATGTTAGGTATAACTAACAAATAATTAGAGTATAAAGCTAACAGCAACAATTTATACAAATAACAAATCACCAGAAATTTCAATGAAACAACTGTTTAACATGTTAAATCAAGCCAAAAGATACGATTCAACAACATTATTAAGAACAAAAATAAAATAAAAAATAAAAAATCAATAGCACCCAGAAATCGGAAAATAATGAAGAACAGTAACAAACAAATCCCATAATAATAAAATGAAATGGCATTAAATTACAAGAAAAAGACAATACCTTGATGGGAAAATAGAGATATTTTTTAAAATTTTTGAATTTATAATTTATTTTCCCGAAGCTCAAGAACACAGACAAGAATTCCTATGTAATGGGTACACCAAGATTTACCAGAAATTTCCAGATTTAACAGAGGAAACAAGTAAATGGGGGTTATTTAGGAAGAAAATGTAGGAAATTTAAAAGAAATTGAAAAGGTTAAAAGTGAAAAATTAGCAGGAAAAATAAAATAGTTGTAAAATAAAACAAAGACGAAAACTTGTCTCTGTTAAAAGAAGGATGAAGAAGAGAGAGAAAATTCTGGCGTTTTATGATTTGAGAAATTTGGTTAATTTTTATAGGTTGAAAGAATTGAGTTGAGATGAACAAAAAAACGAGAGGCGTAATATAGAATGCAACGGGAAAGGCGGTTTTGGTGCTCACACACCAAAAACAACACCCAACCAAATGAAATTTGAGGAGAGAGAAAACTGAAAGGAAAGGGTGGTGTTGTGTGTTTGTGTTGTATTTCAAGTTACAAGTTGTAACTCTAGATTTGTGAGCTTTTTATGGTTTTTTTTTTTTATTGGGAGAGAACCAATTGTATCCACTTTTTGTCCATTTATCTTAATTTTGTAAAACTATACTCCTATTAAATAAAAAATAAATAAATAAAATGCTTGTAAAAAAAAAATGATGTAGTCTTTCTTATAAATCGTAATTCGTTATATTTCGATTTAGTTTTTTTTTAGTGTAGTCTAGTTTAAGTATCAACGTTTAAGGCAATTTTGTTAAGATATGCTAATTTGAATTGGGATTAGATAATACTCTATGGTAAGCTATATCAATCCTTTTCTTTTATATCTAAATTTAAAAGTTAATTGATGAGCTAATTTGCGTATAAAAAAAAAGTGCAATCCTTGATTTGACTAATTTTGAAATAGGATGGCTAATAATTTGATTTGTAAGTTTTCCTATTGAATTTTTTTTAACGTATTGAATCTATCTATTTTTTGTATATATGGTACTAATAAGATAGACACAAGGGACACTTGTTAAAATTATAATTTATCCATTCTTTTTTGTTGGTTATGCTTTTGACCATTTTTCTTTCATGAAAATATGCCAAAGAAAACCAACAAATAGGCACGGAAGAAGTATGTTGTAAAGAAAATACTATCTCCGATTTTTTTAGTTGCAACTTTGAAATATTTTATATCTCATAAATAATGCCTCAAAGTTACAACTAATAAAATCAAATGTAGTATTACTTTTACTTTTATATTTATAATTTGCCTAGGTTTTCAACAAAATATTATTCGGATTTTTAATTTGTTAAGAAAATTTTGTTCCTTGTTTTTGCAAGAAAAGGCAATATCTCATGTATTTTAAGCAATATTCCAAGGTTGACCTTAGGACAAAGATTAAATTCAAACACTCAATGAAACCAAAACTATACATATATTTCCATCAACCAAAAACTTGCAACTATTGTTCGACAGATTAAGTATATAAGCCGCCCTTTCCACTCTTCTACTTTACAATAGTAAAACGATTTTTTATTATTGTGAAGCAATATCAACTATTGAGCATTCGAGAATAGGTCCATTAGTCTATAGGATGACTAATATAGTAAATATACTAATCCAATCAAAGTCTACTCACGGGAAGCTCATTAAATCATTAAAATAATACGAAGTATTTAAGAAATTAACTGATATAAAAATCTAATTGTGTAACCCTAAGGTCATTTATGTAATTGTATAACATTACTCTATACGAAGTATTAATTATTATATATATGAGTGTCAGGACTCCCTACTTGGGTGAGCCCTCTTTTTATTATTCACATGGTATCGAGCTTATAATTTAATCTCTAATCCTAGATTTTTCCCTAATTGATGAGTGAGCCAAAATCCTTTCATTATTCACAAAATCATAGTCATAACTATTCAACTTTTTTTTCCCTGTACTTAAATATATAAATCTTTTATTTAAATGTATGTATCTTAACTTATTAAGACATGCAGTACTTGTGATTGTACTTATTAGAACTTTAGAACTTATGTTTAGAAAAATCATTTGTTTTTTTTTTACTTGACTTGTTTCTTTTATCACGCTTGCCAATGCAAAACTTTAACGGTCAATACCTTTATTTCTCCATAATTAAAAAAATATAAAAGTTATATATTATGATAGTACTTATTGAGACGAATTCAAAATGATCCAACATAAATATGTTTTTCCTTACATATTATTCACAAAACACGGTCAAAGGAGGGGTGGTGAATAGAGTAAAAGTCAAAACGGGTCAAGTAAAAAAGAACGGAGGAAGTATAAAATAAATTACTCCTACATAATAATATACTGAGTAAGGGTCTGTTCTCATTGACTGAACTCAGCTGAACTGAGCTGAGCTGAACTGAAATGAATATTTTATAAGAGAAGGAAATTAGGGGCTGAACTGAACTGAATTGAGCTGAGCTGAACTGAACTGAACTGAACTGAATTTCAACGTAAGAGAACATGCCCTAACTCATACGTAGCACACCTTTAGTGTAATTGGTACACTAAAACTATTTGTACTTTGTACACCTCAAGAGTTTATATGATTGGGCACTTTAGAAAAAGAGAGAAAAAAAAGAAATCAATACCTTACGTGGAGTGTAATCAAGTCTTTAGGAGTATTTTAGTTGTCACTATTATGCTATCCATCTCTATTTTGTTCGATCCTTTTCTCACATTCTCGTACGTAGTCATGAATAATTGAGTAAACACACCATTAATTTTATATTTAGGGTAAACATTTAATTATTTCGTAACCATTCACCAAACGTCCAAACCTCTAGCTCCTTCCACATGGGGAAACCTCCTCTTACTTCTGCTCGAATAAGAAATTTGGAAAGTGAAAGCTAAGGCCAGTACTAATTTTGCCGTTTACAAGTAACTTTGTGTAATACGGGCTTGAATTGTATCCATCAAGGAAAGTTACCCATTTTAAAGTTTAATAAATTCCGTTTAATTAAAAACCAATTTATATGGTAACAGGATGAGAGAACGCTTTCTCAACCTTACAATTTAGTCGATAGTCTGTTCACTTCAGCTTAATTTCTATTCATTTTAGCTCCAATCAGTTCAGTTTAGTTCAGCTCCTAATTTGTATTTCTCATAAAATATTCATTTCATTTCACTTCAGTTTAATTCAGTTCAGCTCGGTTCAGTAAATATGAACAGACCCTTATTCAGTATGGATAACACACAATATGAAACGTGACATTTTAGAGATGATTAGCTATCTATCAATTAAAATGTAGATTTTAAAATGCATAAAGTTAAAATGTTTTGGTTATATATACTTATACATACATTGATATATACCAGAAAAAATGACTTAATAAGTGATAAATGCCAATAAATTAGGCTCCTCCGAATTACGAAAGATTGTCCTAATTCTAACAAAGTGACGTTAAGGAAAATATAATTTATTAGACAGCTAATGAAAACTCTAACCTTACTTTAAGAAATAAACGTTACACGTCGCAACATGCTTTATAATTTTTCTTCTTTAATTTAATTTTTACTCTTTGGCCTTTTCCTTTTTCTTTGTAAGAACATGATATAAGGAGGTGTCAATGTAAAGCGAAATAGGGTAGGAATAGAACATATGCGATTAGCATATGCTAAAATAAACACTAATTCATAACCAAACAATTATATATTCTTTTTGAAACAATTTTTTTTTACTAAAAGACTATTGACAAAACCAAATCTGGATGGATGTGGTAATGTGGAATCTTCTAATTTAAAACAAAATAATTAAATTTTATTGAAATACCCGATAATTTTAGGGCTTCAAATGACCTATTACTCGTAATAACATCGAGTGAGTATTTCTGTAATAAGTTTCTATTTTGAACTTTAAACTCTAGTTTTTCTTAGGAACGAACATTTATTTATTTTCCTAGAGTATGGATCTATGCATGAATTTTTCTTTAGTGGTTTTTTTTTAATTATTTTTCTCGCATCTCATAAAATCTTAACAAAAATTGTTATTACTAATTACTTACTAGGGAGTTTTGACATAAATAATCCGTAATACATAAGGTTTCTACGAAGTAATAATTTTCGGAGGGACCCAAGGGGTACGTAAAACTAGGGTTACTACTTTAGAAAGAAAGAGGGAAAAGTAATAGCTCTAGCTAGCTTAGTTAGGAAAATGGGGTAAAACTATTCAAGTTGTGCCAAATCGTCAATTAAAGAAGTTTCTAATTTCCTACTCCTAGAGAAAGCTCGAAAGTACTACATCCTTAATTACTGTTCTCATCTACCAAATGAGTGAATGATCACTAATTAAAGTATTCAATCATGACTTTAAAATGTTGAATCATGATCACAAATTATAATCCTCATTTAAAATGTTGTTCCTTGGAGAACTCCTGCTTGTGAATTCACAATTACTATTTGGAAGTTTGTATACACTTTTTTTTTGGGTTTCTTTTCTTATATTTGCTAGAAAAATGACTTGTTACTGAAGCTTATATATTGAATAAATAAGTAGAGGAGAAAAACCTTAAGTACAAAAGTTCTCAATACAAATTGAAGTATATATATATCTCAAAAAAAAAAAAAAAAAAATGAAGTATATATATATATATCTCAGAAAACTACTCCGTATTAAATTTTAGATTTGGCAATTTCTTAGATTCTTAAATCAAGTCAATTTCTTGTTCCAAAAAAATAAAATAAAATAAAATCAAGTCTATCATTTGATTCTTACTAGAGATAAAATACAATTGTTACATTATTTTTTTTGGAACCCAATGTCTTAATTATATTTAAATTTTTCTGTAGGAAGAGGGTTCCACAAACTTGATTAGTGTCCAATAATTGAAATGTGTGGTTGGGTTGCTTAAATTAAAACGTGTTAATCAACTTAACAATGTGATTTATGTGAACATAAAATAAATTTCATTACTATTCTAACTAAATTATTTTGCAGTAAATTTTTCTAGGGTTTGATAGTACTTAACTGCTTAGTTCATTCATACATACACCAAGAATTCATGATTGTACATGATGCCTACAAGGCTACAAGTAATGGAGTATAATACGATCATACTCCTTGACTAAGCTAGCTCGCTAAACTACTTGCACCCGTATATTGGCAAACGTATATATAGTGCACAAGGCATGACCATATGTAAGAGTAGCAACGAGTATATATTTGTGTACATGAACTTAAGGTCATATATTACAAAATACAAATCCACCATGAGTCCATGACCCATGCATAATTCAATTACTCAACTCGATCAGTCAAGAGAAAGGATAAAGAAATCCACACACCAAACATCGAATACATAATTAATACTTAAAAAAAAAAAAAAAAAAAAAAAAAAAAAAAAAAAAAAAAAAAAAACCAAATTTACCGCCACAAGCAATAACCTTAACTTGTCACATACTAAACAACTCATCAAGTAACAACATAGAGATGACAATACTAAAACACTCAATCCATCAAATAGTTAAGTTTAGAAATGTCTACTCTTAAAGTAGCAAAAAAACAGATTTCACTTTGCAATGAGCAATTACTTTTGACAAAGAAAACCAAATTAGATACTTACCTCACTTTTCACCTAATTAAAGACGTACTATCACCATTGATGA